GCCAGTTTTGTCTGCTTGGAATGGAGGGAGGCCCAATCTTATCTCTCCTCTCAAGCAGCCATATAGCAGGGGCTGGAAATCCTGAGCAACAATCTTTTGTTTTGCTTCTGCTGTTCACCTTTTCAGCTGATAATAAACTGAGGTTTCAACTCCATTATCACGTACAGTATATGAACTTTGAGACAAATGACTGACTAACAGACCACATGAGGTTGACATTGTTATCATTGGTCTCACAGGGTGACGTTTTTATAACTTAGAAATTTTCTTCCTTTCATTTTCTTTTTCTGATCTGTTCCATATCACAAACTGTGGGAAAATGTGGCTTTGAAACTTTCAATTCCTATATATAAAAGTGACGGGAAAGGCCCAGAAAGATAGGCAAGTGAACATGCACGCAAGAGTCTCAATCTTGACTTGCCCTGCCTTCTGAGAAGAATTAAAATGTCCTCCATTGCCCAGAAATCCAGGCTGGTGTTCTATTGCTAGTCCCAACTAAAACGGACTGATGAGCTCAACAGGAGGTATACATGTGTTGACGTGCCTTTCAGCCTCAACAAATTCAATGAGTTTGTTCTTAGTTGGTAATAGCAATAGAATACTGGCCAAAGAGCCATAGAATTAGAAGGCCCCCAAAGGTCATTGTGGCGATCCCCCTTTGTGCCCTATATACCTCTGGGCTCCACAAAGATAAATACGCCCTTTTCACTGCCACCAGGTATTATACTAATACCAAATCAAATCCCACACACTCAGGAGCTGTCACCCTAAAGGGTCATACAATTTCAGGAATCAAAGGTTTTAAATAAATATTCTTTTATTGTTGAACAAATCATAAAGAGAATCAAATATAACTGTTTCATATGTTCATGTATAATAAATCAGGTGTTAACGTATATCAGATCATGTCAATATTTCTCTTGTTATATTTAGGCGTTCATTCCTGCTTGTTCACTATATTTTAACTCTTTCAATTTCCTTCCTTAACCCTTTTCGCTATTCCTAAATCCTAGCACTCTCTTAATAACTTCTGGTCCCTAACTCTGCCTGAACATCCCTCTCTCTCTGATTCCAACCCCTAACTGTCTCACCCAGCTGTTCCAACTGTCATTCTGACTCTGCCCCTCCTGCTCCATCCCCTGATTGACAGGCAGGAATGATGTCGTACTTTGGGTTCCGTTACAGTAATCTATTCCAGTCCTCTCACAATGCATTAAATCCCCTGTTACAAAATCTTCGAGGAACTGTATGTCCATTTAGGTTGTATTTTGCATCCTTGTTCAGCAGTTTTAAGGGGTTAAATTCTTATGGAGGAAATAACCAAGATAAGATGCTATTAACTGTACCTACCATCCAAGAGAGGGACGTGGTGGTGCTGCAGGCTAAACCGCAGAAGCCTGTGCTGCAGGGTCAGAAGACCAAGCAGTTGTAAGATCGACTCCATGTGACGGAGTGAGCGCCCATCGCTTGTCCCAGCTCCTGCCAACCTAGTGGTTCAAAAGCATGCAAATGCGAGTAGATTAATAGGGACCACCTCAGTGGGAAGGTAACAGCGTTCCGTGTTTAAGTCGCACTGGCCATGTGACCACGGAAGATTGTCTATGGACAAACGCTGGCTCTATGGCTTGGAAACGGGGATGAGCACCGCCCCCTAGAGTCGAACACGACTGGACAAAAAATGTCAAGGAGAACCTTTACCTTTTTACCATCCAAGAGTTGGTGCTTTCTGTGTAGATCCTACACAGTCTGGAGGAATTATTCATATTCCTTTGTCAACATGGTGGGTAACTTGACTCCTTGGTATTGACTCAGTGGAAGATTATTTGGTCTTGTATGTTAAAAAAAAAACCCAAGGTCAGTTCCTGGCATCCCAGTTGAGAGGAAATGATCAGTCAAGAAATCACGAGAAAGACCCAGAGCCCCTGAATCACTACTGCTAATCAGAGCTGAAAACCCTGGGAAGAGCAAATGGGAAATCAGGCATTTTAGCATGTATTTCATGCCTTTATTCACTTCTCACCTGCCAAGAAGCTTAAAAACAATATGCAAATAAATAAAAAAATAGCTGCCAAAAGGAAATGCATGATCAATATAAAAAGTAATATAGATATAAATTATGAATCGTTTTAGTAAGGCCTGCCAAGAAAACACAAGGGCGTGGACTCACCTCCCTCTATTACCATCTCCACACAAGAATTGGAGGTTCTTCATGACTTTGTGTACCTCGGCTCAATGATCTCTGACACACACTCTCCCTAGATGACGAGCTGGACAAACACATTGCCAAAGCAGCTACAGTACCATGTTCTCTAGACCAGAGGTGGTCAACCCCCAGTCTGCGAACCATTGGCGGTCCGTGGCCTGAGATGGATCGGGCCGCAGAGACAGACTTCCCATTCCCCGCATGCACTCCCCTCCACACAGCTGATTTGTGCACGCACGCACGTGCCAGCATGAGCTCTCCCCCACCCCTTCATGCATGTGCCCGAGGGTGGCCTGCCTTTCTCAGAGGCTCAGCTGGTCCTCCGTCCCAAAACAGTTGGGGACCACTGCTCTAGACTCACAAAGAGAGTATGGCTTAATAAGAAGCTGACAGCATATACCAAGATCCAGGTCTATAGAGCCTGTGTCCTGAGCACACTCCTGTATGGCAGCAAGTCCTGGACCCTTTGTGCACGGCAGGAGAGGAAGCTGAACACATTCCACATGCGTTGTCTCTGACACATTTTTTGTATCACCTGGCAGGACAAATTTCCCAATAGAGTAGTCCTAGAACGAGCTGGAATTTTTACCATGTATACATTACTGAAACAGCGATGTCTACATTGGCTTGGGCATGTCATGAGAATGGCTGATGGTCAGATTCCAAAGGATCTCCTGTATGGAGAATTAGTGCTGGGAAAGCGCCCCAGAGGGAGACCCCAGCTGCGATACAAGGAGATCTGCAAGCAGGATATGAAGACCTTAGGAATGGACCTCAACAGATGGGAAACCTTGATAACTGAGTGTTCAGTCTGGAGGCAGACGGTGCAACATGGCCTCTCCTAATTTGAAGTCACCCTTGTCCAGCAGGCCGAGGCAAAGAGGCAGTCCTGAAACCAGCAAAATCAGGGAGCTGGTCAGGGAACAGATTGGATTTGTCTTCAGTGTGGAAGGGATGATCACTCTTGAATTGGCCTTCTCAGCCACACTAGATGCTGTTCCAAGACCTCCATACAGAGCACGTTCCCATAGTCTCTCAAGACTAAAGGATGCCTACCCCTCATAGATATAAATATAGAAACAATTATTTAAAACCTCAGCAACTCAGTGCCTATCTACAGTACCCTATTTTAAATGAATTTAATTAATCTTAGAACTGCAGAGCTGGAAGGAATGCTGTGGATCATCGAGTCCAACTCCTGTCAAGGAACCACACTGGGGAACTCAATTCCCAAACTCTAGCTCCACAGCCAGAGACTTAAACCACTGAGCTATCCAGCAGTTATACTCTCTTATTTTCTGAGCTTGGAGATTCCTCGACTACAGCTGCCTAGCCAGTGCGGTTAGGGGTTACGTTGGCTGGTGGATACTGGGAACTGCAGTCCAGAAAAGCAACTTTTATAAGCCCAGCACTGCCTCCAACCAGAAGGAGCATCATAGACCTACTAGCCCACATGATGCATTTTGGATAAACACATCATGAGTATTCCTTGAGTACTGAAGGACTTGTAACTGTCAAAACAGGAAATGTCAGTCCTCTAGTAGTATGCAAATTAATTTTGTTTGTTTCATGATGGGTCACATTGGGCACATTTTTTGCGAGCATGATTGCTCAGACACAGAGGTCTGCAGCAATCACATCTGATTATTTGAGCTTTTAATGAAACACAGAATAGGGATGTAGAAGATATGAAAAAATTAATGATGGTGATCCTTTTCTGGCATTAAAAAGGTCAGTGTTAGCATCATGGGAGTCATCTTGGGGACAGCATTCCACAGACCAAGGGCATCCACAGGAAATACTTGTTCCTGAATGATGATGTACAACCTGCCAGCCTACTTTTCCTCCCCTGACCCTTAGTTTTGTAGAGGTGTTCAATGCATGTCTTGTAATGTGCCATGTATTTTGTCTAATAATACACATACAGTGGTGCCTCGCTTAGCGATGTTAATTTGTTCCAAAAAAATCGCTGCTAAGCGATTTCATCTTTAAGCGAAATGCAGTTTCCCATTGAAATGCATTGAAAACCGGATAATCCATTCCAATAGGAACAAATTGCCGTCCTTAAGCGAAAATCGCCATAGGAAACATCGCTAAGAGAAACGTGGTTCCCCCATTGAAATGCATTGAAACCTATTCAATGCATCTCAATGGGGGGAAAATACAACAACAAATTAAAAAAGAGTCAGAACAAAGTCAAATTTGGTTAACAAAGGGTTTATTAAGTGCAAACATTTTAAACAGTAAACTTTAACTTTATAAATAACAGAAAAACATTTAAAAAACAGCAAACATGAGGCTGTTTAAACCATCATTAAGCGAAACAGGGGACCCAAAATTTAATCGCTATGCGAAGCATGGTCCCAACCATTGCTAAGCGAAAATCGCCCATAGGGACCATCGCTAAATGAAGCACAAAAACGCTCCAAAAAAGTCATCGCTCAGCGATTTCATCGCTAAATGGAGCACCTGTTAAGCGAGGCACCACTGTAATTCTTTCTTTCTTTAGACATATCTAGTATTCTTATATTTCTGGACCAAGCGAACCAGCCCTATGTCCTGCTTAGATTAAGTAACCACTCTACAGTAATAAATGGGCTGTGTTGTTTGTTAAAAGCAATGTTTGCGGTATCAACTGCCTAACTAAACAAGAGGTGAATTTTCTCCTCTTCCTCTTATGAGTCATAATGGTGTTAAGCAGGGCAAAGATTACATATGTGTGTGTGTGTGTGTAGAGATAGTTATATCGGGTGCTTTTAAACAGCGCATTTTCCTGACACTTGGTGAATTAAACAGCATGTCAAACCAAAGGAAGAACAGGGCTGTGATCATTGTCAATTATGAATTCTATGGGACCAAATCCTCTGAGATGCTCTCGTCAAGACCTGGGGCCAAGAAGGAGGCAGACAGGCTTTTTAAAGCCTTATCCAACTGCAATTTTGCTGTGAGACTGCACTATGACTTGACAGCCAAGGAAATAGAAGAACTCTATGAGGAAGGTATGCTTATCGCTTTGCCTCTGCCATGTTTGTCTGGTTTTGGGGGATCCCATTTCACCAAAATGAAATAAACCGTCCATCTTTTTCCTGCTTCATTTTGCTTCAGCTGATAGGCTTGTGCAGGCATAGAGATAGTCGGGAAGCTGAGTCACTGTCTCTAAAAATGTTGGCAGCAGAGGATGAAGAGGAGGAAGTGAGAGGACCAGGAAGGGAGGCAATAGGAGCAGGTTGTTGTTCTTGGGTAGCCATGAACCACCCCAATTTATTATTTTTCTCATTCATGCCTATCTCTAGCTATAAAGCAATAAAGTGTCCAGGTGATATTTTGAGTTTATGCAGAAGACAGAGCTAAAATCAATGGATAGAAACTGCAGGCAGTGGTGTAGCATGGCTTGCCAGCACCCGGACAAGTATTGCGCCCCCTCCTCTGTTCCTGATAGTACCCCCCTGAGCACTCTGCTCCTCCTCCATATTGATTTATTGATTATGTATTCATTTAAAATATTTTTAAGACTCCTTTCTCCCCAAAAGGACCCAAGGCAGCTTACATCACTAAAACAATATTTAAGAGCTAAACCAGTAAGTATACAAATATTAAAAAAGAAGTAAACAAGTACTATATTAAAATGGTGAGATCAATATTAAAATACATTTAAAACAATAGAGCACAACAATCCATTTAAAACCCCTCTCAGACCATCAGACATTAAGGGAAAGCCTACCTGAAGGGAAAGGTCTTTGCCTGCCTGCGGAAGGACAGTAAAGATGGGCCCAGCCTGGCTTCCCGTGGGAGGGAGTTCCAGAGTCTGGGGAGCAAGGACAGAGTTGTTGTCCCCACTAAGCGTGCCTGTGAGGGTGGTGGGACTGAGAGGAAGGCTTCCCCTGATGATCTGAATGCCTAGATGGTATCTATGCTCATAGAGGGATTGCTTGGACCCTGTTTAGGGCTTTGTAGGTTAGAGCACCTTGCCCAAGAATGGGACATTAGAAACTAGCCAGTAGTTATCCAGTTCTGTATTTCTTTTCTTTTCTTATCCAATAAAGGTCTTACTATTGCTGCCTTCAAGCAAGCTGGGATCCTACCCTGCTTCAAGGAGGCATTCTTGGACATTCCCTCTTTGGCAGCTTTTATAAGCCAGAATGGGCGAGGGTC